TTACCGAATGACGAGCGCGCACTGTGTTATTTTAGTAGTTACCGCGCGAAGCTTTTCCGCTGTGCTGGTGCTTGCTTTTTTTCGTGGACGAACAACTATGGTAGTGGTCTCTCCAATTGACGCCGAGATTGTCCAGGAGAATGGGGAATTTTGGAGAAGACGAGATACGATTGTTCGAGCCTTGCGGTTCGTTTTTATAGTCGCGAATTGTCGACAATTATAAAAACGAGAAGCGAGGCTTGAATAATAGTATCTCTGCTTCCCAAATTATAGCGTCAATTAGAGAGACATTACTGTACAGTCAACGCCAGAAACATCGACATCATGTTCCAAAGTGTATCATTCTTTCCAAAAATCGTTCAAAAATCCCATTCTCTCAAGAAACCGAGACAAACAATAGAAAAGCATGCATTAATTTATATTCGCCCATTATTAGCTAAATTTTAAAATCGTCCAAAAGACAAAACTCCACGAAAAGTCTCTCCTATTGCGAAGACTCGCGGTTTTTTTTACGCATCGGTTTTCGAACAACCGGTTCTGCGCGCCAAAGAAAACGTTCACGGACAATCAATCTAAATTATAATTTAGTAATCCCATTAAGGCAGCACAGGCCACCTTCGCGCGCACTTGCTCGGAGGGGTGGGTTGCGCGCGCGCGCGTTCACAGCGTTCACGCAGAGACGGGACGCGTATAATTAGGTATCGTTTATTTTACACCCGAGGCACCGCAGTTAGGGTGACACTTCCAGCTTATAATATATACGTAAGCTGGGGTCCGAAGCGCGCATAGAAACGCGCGGTTGCAGAACCGGCGGTGGTGGTGGTAGTCGCTCATAGAACGCTCCGATGCTAATGTGATACGATCATCGCCACCCAGCCGGCCGACCATTGATATTATACACTGTGGGGATCCCCCTCGTTTCTTAGCCTTTCGACGATCGAACCATCCACTTCTCTTTCTAGAACGATTGTCTTCGTCGTTTCGCCCATTTAAGGCTCGACGGTGCGTGAACTCCTTTCACTCGGCGGCTGCTTTTTCAACCAATTTATTATATTATTATATTATTTTATTATTATATTGCTATATTATTTTATTATTTTATTATTATTATATTACTACACTATTATATTGTTATATTATATTATTATATTATTATATTATTATATTACTATATTATTACATTATTATATTATTATGCTATTTTATTACTATATTATTACATTATTATATTATTATGCTATTTTATTATTATATTATTATATTAGGTTGGAAACTATAAAACGGGTGTTTTTGTTTAGTCTGTATTCTGCTGCGACTAAGAAAGATTCATTGTAACGTGTGCTCGATATTTAATAATATATAATAATATAATATATATATATATATATATATATATATATACGAATACGTACAATTTTAACCGATTTCGAAAAATTTCTTCATCTTTGCATGCCATTTTTCGTACATATTATTTACACATTTTCGCATATTTTCAAGCGAAAGCATGCCGAGCACGATCTCAACGGGAAAGTCGCCTGTAACGTGTTTTGATTGCCGGCATCAAATCGCGACAATGCCAGATTGCATGCTGACAAATGAGTAGCCCGCGCCGGGACGCGATACACAAGAGACATATGGCCTCCATAAAAAAAAAGAAAGGTACGAAGCGCGAGAGATACAAGAGATGGCCAGCAGTAACACCATGCAGTCGATCCGATATTAATGGAGACCAAACACCGCACATTCTGTGTAGCCTCTGTCGTCCCCCCGTTGTGTGTACACATCGGTGCGCCATTATGCCCCTGTTATAATGTATATATACACACACACCCCCTTCGCAACAATAGAATGATCTATGATCGTGGCGTTAGCTATGCGGATCGCCGATTCAACTTCTCGCCCTTCTGCCGTTCCCTTTTTTTCCCGACGACAGACAATGACCTTTGCTTCTTTTCTTTCTTTCTTTCCTTTTTTTTACCTGGAAACGCCTCTTTCTTGTAGGTTTGTTTATTCTTTCTTTCCGTTGAAATAGCTTTTTTGAAACCATTGTTTTGGTTTCGACAAGATCGGGTTACGCGAAAGTAGATGTTAGAATGTTAGAAAGAAATTAGATATTAGAATATTAGATATTAGAAAATAGATGTTAGATGTTGGATGTTAGATATTGGATATTGGATATTGGATATTGGATACTAGATGCTAGATACTAGATACTAGATACTAGATATTAAATACTAGATACTAGATACTAGATTTTAAATACTAGATACTAGATACTAGATAGATATTAA